AGGGCATCGAATGGACCTTCATTGATTTTGGTCTGGATCTCCAGGCTTGCATTGACATGATTGAAAAGGTAAACACGCATGGTCATCTAGCTATGCTAATTATAGTAGTAATCAACACTATAGCTAATATAAAATAATCATCCAATTATTAAGTGAACAATGCAATGCAAATAATGCAAACTAATTAACGAATTAATAAATATTCATCTTATTTTCAGCCCATGGGCGTATTCGCCATTCTTGAGGAGGAATCTATGTTCCCCAAGGCCACAGACATGACCTTCCTGGACAAGATGCAGGTCAATCATCTTGGTAAATCCAAGAGCTTCTCCAAGCCGAGACCGCCGAAGGCAGGACAGCAGGAGGCTCACTTCGGAATCTTCCACTACGCTGGCGTTGTCAACTACAACGTTGACCACTGGCTGGAAAAGAACAAGGATCCCATCAACGACACCGTGGCAGTCACATTCGCCAAGTCGCATGGAAACCTACTGCTTGCGCATCTGTTTGCTGACAAGCTGGTGTCTGATGAGGACACTGGTGGAAAGGGAAAAAGGAAGAAGGGATCCGCCTTCCAGACCGTATCCGCTCTCTACAGAGTACGTTTTTCGCAGTTCAATTGATATGGAATTTGTCATAGAAACCCGTGAGTAATGAAAGATCGCATAGCTGTTCGCGCAGGTGTTATGAGAAACAATTGTTCTAACTCATGACATAGTTATAAACATGTCCGAATAGCACAAATAATTGAAATATTATCTGCTCTGTACAGAGTGCGTAATTGCAGTTGAATTGATATGGAATTTGTCATAGGAACGAGCATCGTGGTTTCATACGTTCCCTTCCCGCAGGAACAACTGAACAAGTTGATGGGGGCCCTGCATGCCACGGCTCCTCACTTTGTGCGCTGCATCATCCCCAACGAGAACAAGGAAGGAGGTGTTCTTGATGCCGCACTGGTCATGAACCAACTGACCTGCAACGGTGTACTGGAAGGAATTGCGCTCTTCCAACTGACTCGGTTTCTGAATCACCTAGCTATGTAACATCTAAAATCTACCGCAGTGAAGCTGAATTTCAATATAACCATAGTTAAATTAAGAAGGTGAACTATTAGATAAGATCAAGAGCTAATGATGCATGTATTATTAGCTCTTGATAAGATAGATTCTGTGTTATCTATCTCGAATAAGATCTCTATAAATTACATCATCGTCAATTAATATTGCCGTATGCTAAGTAAGTGTGCTTGTAAGACATACTTAGTGCATGTCTAGCGCGTGCGTTATTAATCATTATATTCTTATTATAGGCATAAATGCGCGTACATTATAGATTTTAAACTATCGGTAAATTGACGTTGTCTTGTTGTTTTAACAACAGCTATCGCCCTTCTTCGTCTGCATCACCACTTGAGCCGTCTGCAGACCCACAAGCCTCCGCCATGTTGACGCAGCCGCTACCGTTGCCATGGGGCACGAAGGAGCTCGGCCAGCAGGACCCGTGGCAGTTCCTGAAGCCCGGCGACAAGATGAGAATCGAGCAGCAGAACATCCCGTTCGACGGCAAGAAGATGTGGTGGGTGCCATGTCCGAAGGAGGGTTTCCAGATTGGAGAGCTCAAAGAGAGATCGGGAGACAAGGTCACCATCATCGTCAAAGGCGAGGTAATGTATACACATCACAGTAGGCGCGTCACGAATTGTAGCGGTGGTAGTTGCGTTAAAGTATACAGTAAACATATGAAGTGAGAGGTTTTTGCGTGCAAGTTTGCTTGCGATAAAGAGAGAGAGAGGGAGAGAGAGAGAGAGAGAAGAAGAGAAAGAAAGAGAGCGAGAGAAAGAAAGAGAGCGAGAGAAAGAGAGAGGGACAGCGAGAGATAAGGGTAGATTGCGAAACGAGGAGGTGCGAAAGAGAGAACGGGACAGCGAGAAGGAAAGGAAGAGAGGGGAGAGAGAAAGAGAAAGCGTGCGAGAAAGAGAGAGAGAGAGAGAAGGAGAAGAGGGTTGAGTTCCCTAACCGCCTCCTACTTGCAAGACAATTATAATCGTACCTAAGCGCAGTTATATTCAACTCAAAATAATTTATGGCCCTAAATTATATCTTAAATGAGTCCGCGGATTTCAGACAAAGATTGTCTGCAACACAAAAACAAAAAAAATCTCACTTTTAGAATGCTTTACTCCTACTACTACTACAGGAGAAAGTGCTGAAAGAGGACCTGGTACAGCAGATGAACCCGCCAAAGTACGAGAAGTCAGATGACATGGCTCACCTGACGTACCTCAACGACGCCTCGGTGCTGCACAACCTCAGGCAACGTTACTACGCCTGGATGATCTACGTAAGTAACATTTAAGCTGGGTTTACACCTTACAACCTTTGTGTTGGCGAATTGGACCAACTTCCCAACTATACAACCGACAATCGGCAGTGTATACGCAAAAGTTGCGCGACCAACCGATCGATAGCAACTAGTTTGGAGATTAGAACATGTTCTATTTTCGCGCCAACTCGGAGTTGCCGAATTGCGAAATTGGCCCAACTCGCCACTTCGCCAACATAAAGTCGGTAGTGTAAAGCCAGCTTTAGTTGAAGCAATAACGAAGTATTTATAACCCACGTAGTGGATTAATTAGTAGTTTAGAACTCGCCATTCATTTATCAGAATCACGCAAATAGGTGTAGAAACCTTATAGATTATAGATATATATATTATAGGTCTCATCGTATAATAGAGGTAATAAATATTGTATTTACTCGCATCTGTAGACCTACTCTGTTAGATTCGCATTAGTAGTTTAGAACATCCTATCGGTTTCGGAGAAGTTGATAGCGATTTCTATCTGCAGACCTGCTCTTATAAATTATATATATAATTAATTTATTGTATATTATATATATATTATAGGTCTCACCGTATAATATAGGTAATAAAGATTCTATTTACTCGCATCTGCAGACTTACTCTGGACTCTTCTGCGTCGTGATCAACCCCTACAAGAGGCTGCCGATCTACATCGAAAAGGTCGTGCAGGAATACCGTGGCAAGCGTCGTCCAGAGATGCCGCCACATCTGTTCTCCGTCGCCGACAACGCCTACGCTGAGATGTTGATGAGTGAGTGTTGATTTCATTTCTGTGGAGTTTTGCCGAGTGACGCGAGATCGAGAATTTTTAACGTTCCGAACATCTGTTTGTCTTCGATGACGAACGTGTTGCATTTGCAAATTGTAAGAAACTAAATGTTAGATTGTTAACGACTAAAGTCTAATGATAATTATACAGGCTATATATATATTTTTTATTTTTTTATTTTTTTTATTATTTATTTATTTAATTATTTATTTATTTATATATACATACATTTGTTACGCCTCCGTTGCTCCTTTCGACGTTTTCCTTTTCTTTCTACCTTATTTTGCTGCGATTTGTTTTTTCCTCTCCTCCCCCTCTTCTCTCTCTCTTTCTTTTTCCCCCCACCCTCCCCTCTCTCTCTTTCTCTCTCCCTCACCCTCACCCTTCTCTCTCATCGCTCTCTCTGTCCTCCTTCTTCCTTATCGTCCGTAATTTGCCCGTGTCTCCAGCTGCCGTTGATCACTGTCTGTACGGAATTTCATGATATTCATAGCGGGTTATTACTACTCTATTTCAGACCGCGAGGACCAGTCTATGCTGATCACGTAAGTACCGTCTATAGAAACATGAGAATGTGCGAAATAACTTCCACAGGTTTTAACCCGTTAATAATGGACACGATTTTTAGCAGTTTTTGCGTTCGCTGCGAACGTCGCAAGATTTTCTTGTTCTTCATCCTCTTCACGATTATTTTTAAAATTATTTTAAGTATGGCGTGCCTGGCGTATGTTTTTTGAACGAGATTAGCAAGTCGACGTATTTTTGTCATCTAGATACACGTCGATATATATACAGATAGATAATACAGATCCGCGTTATGTGTGGCGTTTTGTCGCGTTTTCGGTTTTATGCATTCCTGTGAAACGTTTCTGAAACAGAGGCGAGTCTGGTGCCGGTAAGACTGAGAACACGAAGAAAGTAATTTCCTACTTCGCCCTTGTGGCGGCCCCGGAAAAAAGAAGGAGGGTGAATCGAAGGTTGTTTTGTGTGCCTAAATCTCAACAACGCGTGTGTTTTGACGACCTTTTTGTTGCGTTTTCTCCCCTATTCGAGCGAATGCGAACGATTTCCTATATTAATGTCGTGAGATCCTGTTTAGATTGGCACTTTTTGCAGCCAATGTTTTTAGATGTGTGCTATCCCGGTAGGGTTTTCCCGCTGAATTTTTTTCGGCTAACGTTTTCCCTGCACGACAGTTGGCGTCTAACAATTTTACATGCATGACCATTCTCCCCGTTTTGTCTCTTTTTATGGCGATTTCTGTAGAGCAAATGAACGGATAGCTTTCATAACAGAAAAAGTAGGAAAATGTCAAAGTGTGCAAACGAGGTTGCATGTGTATGAAGACCTATTTGCAGCAAGTGTGTACGTTAAAGCGAACGCAAGCCATGAAAGATTTGTGAGAAGTTGCGCTATTTTTGGCTTTGGTTCTTTATTTGGTGGCATTTTCAAGAGGACCCGCTTTGGCGGCGCTTCTGCCAGATGTCCTAGTTAAACTATCTTGAGTATTTGCGTTTTCCTGCACGAGCGTTGTCGGTTGTGTTGTCCTCTAATACTATTCCGTCGCATAATTTCTCTCCTCGAAGTATTTTAGCGTGTTTTGTGTGTGATTTTCGACCTTACAAGCGGTTATTGTGGGTGAATGAGTTTTTAAATCCTATATATATATATTATATAGGTGCATGTTGCACTTTCCGTGTAATTAGCGTTTAGAGAAGAATGCACAGCGAGACGAGTTGCGAGCACTCCGATATCTAATAACGTATTCTCTTTCCAAGTGATTTATTATTTAGGTTTTTAGATTTTTTTGAATTCGAGTTTGTCCTTAATGAGACATTCGCCGTCGAGTTTTCACCACTAGGGTGCGCACGTCTTGCACATGACAAGCGTCATGACATACCACTTCAAATAATATATATAATAATATAATAATAATAGAGTAAATTAATTAAAATAATAATAATAATAGTAATAATTTTTAATAATAATAAATAATAATAATAATAATAATAATAATAATAATAATAATAGATAATAATAATAATACTAATAAACCATTGCTTAACATAAAAAACACATGTGCTCGAATGTGCACGACACACGACACACGATGAGTACTTTTATCGTTTTTCGACGTTTTGTCATGCGCGATTGAACGAGCATGTTTTGATGTCCATGGTAACGTGGTGACTTGACTCGATGTAATGCCTCGCTGGTTGTTGCTGTGATTCTACAGGTGAGTCTGGAGGATCAGATCGTGCAGGCTAACCCGTCCTTGAGAGCTTCGGTAACGCAAAGACCGTCAGAAACGACAACTCTTCCGTTTCGTAAGTATAACATTAAATTATAAGATTAAATTAAATAATTTATAATAATGATTTCAATCAATATTAATTTATTAAAAACATGTAATATATATATATTATATTTACACAAATACATGATTATATATATATATATATATATATATATATATATATATTATATATATATTATCAATATTCGTGCGCAGAGAGAATGCAAATATTGTTACCTTCAACCCCTAAGAACGTTAACTTATAATAATCTTTATAATAATCTTATAATAATCTTTGTTAATTGTTTTATTTCTTCCACCTGCTTATTGATTTTTCTGATTACGTTTATAATTATGCGTTTGTTCCCATTCAGGGTAAATTCATCCGCATTCACTTTGGCCCATCTGGAAAACTGGCTGGAGCCGATATTGAATCTTGTGAGTATAAAAACCACGTTCAAGATAATATGAGAATAATTGATAAATCTACAGATATATATATATAATATCAGGAGTAGATGTAGACCTTCATCTACTCCTGATAATATATATATTATCT